TTTTTTTTTTTTTTAAATGTGAACTCTTCTTGAAAAAATATTTGCTATCTTGTTCTTGTTTGGATATGGCGGTTGGCTTGGTCTTGTTTAACCTTTGGAGCTATAATAAATTGATTGAAGGTGACAAAGCGCACAGATTAATTGTTTATTTGTTTTACATGTTGCTATGTTTGGTAAAACTTGCTGATAGCTGATAAGGTAGCTTATAGTTTATCAGTAATTTTTGAGCTTATAACTTATATCTTATGACTTATAGCTGAAAAGCTAGCTTATACGATAAAAGTATTTGGTAAAATTAGTTGATAATCTAGATGAAATAAAAAATTCAACTAGTTTATTTGAAAAACTACTTAAAGAAGTTTATCAAATAAGTTGGAGCTTTTAAAAAAAGTTCGTTCCACCGTACGAGACTTATTAAAATACAGAAAGGTATAAGTTAACCAAATAAGCAATAAGTTATACAGAGAGCTTGAAATAAATTTGAAAAAATTATGAATGTACGTACAATAGGAATGCAAATGTGAATGTAAATGAAAATGTTGAAAATCAAATTAAACAAGTTAGAATCATGTGAGTGGTTGAATGATATTTAAAATCATATAAAGATATTTTATTTCCATAAAATATATAACGATATTTTATTTTATTTAAATTTTTAATTATATAAGTGATATTATAGAGAAAAATTAATGAAAGTATTTTATATTAGTGATGTTTTTATTATTTTTTTAAAGTACATTTAAAAAAAAAATATATCATTATTATATTTAAAATGATACAATACATTATACAACCATAAAACTCGCTTGTATATGTTGGACATTGTTACAATTTTAAAACTTCTCCGGCGAAGGATGCTCGGGATCTCATATGGAGAACTCTTCCTCCTCTTAGGAGCTGCGGCTGCTCTAATCGGTACCTCTCTTCCAGTATTTCTCTGCAAAATGTGATCTCGTTGCTTGTTTGCGCCTTTTTTTTTTTGTTTTGGGGATTTCGTGTTTGTATTCTAGGTTTGTTTGCTAATGATGAGCGATTTTCATTTGTGATTACAAAAAAATATTTTGTGGTTCTCTGCGAAAATCTCTATAATTGGACATATGATTGTAAAATTAGGTCCAAAGGATCTTCCTGTTATAGCTAGAACAGCTGGGAGATTAGCTGGGCGAGCAATCGGATATGTTCAGGTGGCGCGTGGCCAATTCGAAAGCGTTATGCAGCAATCTCAAGCTCGCCAGGTATTTTATCCATTTGCCCTAATCTGATCGGGCGGCATGGCTGTTTGTGTTTGAGTGTTTGTGATGAACTCGATGTGTTGTGCTGCGATTAATCGGCTTGTGCTTCTTGAATTTAGGTGTTGATTAATCCTGAAACTGGAGACTTTTACTGAGTGCCACTGAGAGTTCAGTTATCAAGATGATGTTTATTGATATTCTTTTGATTTTTAAGTTTCCTGTATATATCGTTGCGAAAAACTGACTGAATAGTACTCGTATTGATAGGTATTTACTGGTTCGATTATTAATGCTCTTTGAATAAATCAGACTTGTGTTGAACTCGATGTGTTGTGCTGCGATTAATCAGCTTGTGCTTCTTGAATTTAGGTGTTGATTTATCCTGAAACTGGAGACTTTTACTGAGTGCCACTGAGAGTTCAGTTATCAAGATGATGTTTATTGATATTCTTTTGATTTTTAAGTTTCCTGTATATATCGTTGTGAAAAAGTGACAGGATAGTACTCGTATTGATATTATTTACTGGTTTGATGTTAATGCTCTTTGAATAAATCGGACTTTGGTGATAATGTGACAGGTTCATAAAGAACTGCAAGACACGATGGCCCAATTAGAAGCCATACGACATGAAATTCGGTCCATTTCGTTCATGAATCCTGGTCCTTTGACGACAAGGCTAGTCGATAACATTGCTGGACAACCTCCCGTAGCGAATGGTATCTATCTTTGTTAAAATTTCTCGTTCGTATTTAAAAAACAAGAGACAAATCATCCTTGATTACAGATGTGTTATATTCATGGTTGTATTATAGTGGATAATGGATCTTCAAAACCTCCTGAAGATCTTGCAGAGAATATTCAGATCAAAGAGACCAGTCGCATGGCCGAGGTAGGTAAAAAATACAAAGGAATTATAAAATACCGAAATACAAGTTTCGATGTGAAGATTTTACAGTATTTTTAGCAAATTTCACGCTTTCCTAAGGATCACAGTTTACCGAGCCCGGTACTGTCCGATATACATAGCCAAGCCACAGCGTACGAAAGATTGGCTGCTGAATCCCCATTAGGTGGAAAGTCCATGGATGAAGTTCTTAATGAGCTGAAGGATGAATCCGGTCAGTTTGTTGTTCTTCCTATATCAGCTGAAAGTGCGAAATTGTTGCCCAGTAAAAAAGGTGAGAAAACATACCTAAAATTCTATTATCCTTTCCTAATTCCACATTTTCCAGAAGTCAATGGACCTGTGTTGAAAATATGTAATCACTTGCCCCTTTTCATGGTTCTTGAAGAACTAAGCCTTTTTCTTTTATTTATTTATTTTTTTTTTCGCTTCAGGTGAGCTGAGGGGTTCGGACATATTGTTGGAAGCGGTAGTTGAGGAAGATGTGGCAAGGAATGCAAAGGGCTTTTTCTCTCAGGCTCAAGACCAAGTAACGAATTGAACGAACAAAGTTAGATTTTTCTCTTCCCATGTGTGTGTGTGTGTATATATACGTATGGTCATTATTTCTTTCTATGTTCATTAGGCCACCCTTTTAGCAGTTGTCTTGAACTCTTAGAACTATATATTTACGTTGAAATCTTCTTAGGTAGTGCCTGCGTTTGGATAATTAAAAATTATATCATGCAAAATTTTGCAAATTAGGAAGCATCCAAGCTCTCTGATCTATTGTTTCATGGTCTGGGATTTGGGGGCTAACAGACCTCTTTCTTTTTGTGTATTTTTCGTTTGCTCTCTCTCTCTCTCTCTCTCTCTCTCTCTCTCTCTCTCTCTCTCTGTGTGTGTGTGTGTGTGTGTGTGTGATGCCTGTTTTCTGTGATTCTTATTCTTCCCATCAATCTGAAGTTACATAAGATACTTGATGAAATTTCAAAAACAGTTACGTAATTTTGAACGTACTGTTGACGAACGTTTTCGGTCAACGGTTAAAAATAAAAGATATAGAGAGCAAGACTGAAAAAGGAGAGAATAATTCGGTTTAATTGCGATTTTATTAAACGATCACGAG